CTTTTTTGGTCTCAGCAGAGTTTTGCACAGCAAGGAAGCTGCTAGTCAGGAAAATACAAGCTCGCCGTCCTGCTTCCTAGCAACCAGCAGCAGCTCCTGTACCCTTTAACCTGCATTCTCTTTGCAAGGGGCTTTGCAGGAGCACCTTTGCCCAATCTCTCCACCTACAGATGCAGGGGTGGGGAAAGCTTCACCTCCTGAATATGTTTTCTTAGTCCGCTTCATGGTACAGAAGCCCGGTTAAGAGTTGGTGTGCATGCTTGTTTTTAAGCTGCCACCAGCTCATCTTCTCCTATCCATTCCTCTCAGGCGATTCATGCGCTCAGGTTCCAAGAACAATCTGATACATGTGTCCTCAATGACAGAAAAAGGATTGCCAATTCACGTGGGGTGCGGGGGGAAGACTTGTTCTTGTGCTGTTAGCAGTAGCTTGATCTTCAGAAATCTGCACAGGAGGCATCTCAGGGCATGGGAAACAAGTCCATCACCTGCTAATGCCTGCAGACCCGGCATTAAAGGTAGGGGAGTCGGGCTCGGAAAAGGAATTGCCAGGAAGCCAGGAGTCCTAGATTTCAGCTGCTCTGATTCACCGTTGGAATCTATTATCTTGCCCACCTGTACTTCCTGGCTTGGCCCCCAGAACCGCAGCAGTCCTCCTGTCTGCCAGCCCTCCCAGGCACTGTTTATGTAAGGCTGCTTGCCATATTTCAAGGCACATCATAATTCCTCACAAGCACTCCCCTTCTAGCAGGCACACCTCACTGCTAGTTGATATTAAATGCATCTATGTCTTAGCTACAAATCCCCATGCTTCAGAAAACGGTGTGTTGTCAGTGGGGAAGTATCTCGGTCTGATGTGGATAACCTTGATAATGGGTATTTGAATGTGGTGGGACTCTAATCATATTATAAATGCACTGCCTTTTCATCATGTAATCTTGAATGTGTCCAGGCACAGTTTTCTGGACCGTAGGAAATCATTCTGCTCCTTACCCCACTGCTCAGCCCCCACTGAAAATATGAAACGGCTCCCTTCCTATCCTCCCTCCTGTAACTAGCTACGCTCTTGCATCTTCGGTTCTTTTGCAGAGAGAAAAAAGAGGGCAGAGGGATGCCCAGCTGTGCTGGTGTAGATCAAGGAGTGACTGGAATGCAAATGCACAACCACTGCGGATAGTGATGTCACAAACACATAAACGTTTCGCTCTGTGTGTCTCTCTGACACACTTCCCCTCAGCCTGAACACCTGGAGCAACACCACGTACCAGCAGAGACCAGCCACATCACGGAGAGATGCCCCATGAAAGGGGAGGGGCCACTGTCTTCTGGATGCATATTCAGCCCAACTGCAGGGAGAAGTATCAGGCTGTCTACATGCAGACAGGCATAAACGCCACAGACAGAGCCCACATGTGCTCACAAAATGCAAGCGCTCCTGTAAGGCTACCCACATATAAGGAGAATGTGACCTAAAACATGAGATCGACCACTAGAGTCGTCTCAATAAAGCTGTCTTGTGCCTGAATTTAGTTAGCCATTGGAACTTGTAAGTTAGCTTTCACATGAGAGGGACGTATCAGACCAAACACCAAAGCAACACATGCAGGCGAGCGTGTCAGGGCACACTGGAAAATGCTAAACCGCATGCCACACGATCCTCCACATTGTTCGCTATAAGTAACCCTCGCGGTGGTCAATAGGGATTACTTCCACATAACTCAGCACAGAATTCCAGCCACAGGCATTTGACAGACACACTGTTGGCTTGTCGGGATACCCAGGCAAGGCTGCCCACATTTTCCATGAAGCGTTTGGCTTGGTACCCACCTTTCTACCTCCAGTGGAAGAGATGTGTAAACCCCTGTAACAGCATTTGGTCTACATACACCAAGCATGTAGAAACTCCTGGCCCAGAAGCCAAAACTGCCCCCCCCCCCATGGTCCCAATCCAGCCTCAGATGGTTGAATACTTCTTCAGTATTGTCGGTAAGAACTGTCAGCTAAACATTTTGGCCTCCCACCACTGGAATGCAGCCCGAAAGCATGCCTGAAATAAGAGTTCAACTCTTAGGCTGAAAAAGTGTCAACACCCTGAAGTACACTGCAGTCTCCATTTAGATTGTAAGTTCCTAGGGGCAGGAAACCATTTTTTGTTTATTGAATCACCGTATATACTGCAGTTACTGACAACTCTGTGTAGATGGCACAGAAAACCTGAACATCAGCTGAACCACTGAGGGCTGTCACATAAAAAGACACACAAGCGGCATTTCCCTTTCTGATCAGCTGGGTGGGCACAATGTGCAAATAAAAGTACACCCTGGGAGATAACTTTTTATTTTTTCGTACTTCACTGAGGAAATTTAAGCAGCAATTGTGAAATGAAACTCTTTGCTTGAACTGTTGTTTTGCGTTTGTTCTGTTCTGTTACCAAATCCCCTAAAATCTCAAAAGCATCTATAACAAAAGATAATGAAAAATCCAAACGAAAGTAAAGACTCAAATCAGATTGTTTCATAACTTAGCATTCATGTTAAAAGAGTGATAAAAGGAGTGATGATTTGCTCTTTAAAACTGGGTTCAAAACAGGCCGTTCCACTGAAATAGGGAGAAGAAGGGGGCTCCCTCCTCCCTAATCTTCCCAATTGCAGCCCATTCCTGTAGAACTCCTTAAACCAACACCAGGGGTTTCTTGCTTCCCCTCAACTTTATCCCATCAGTCTCCTGACGCCCCCTTTGGGAAAGGGAGGCAAACTGCACTAGTACCACTTCCTGTTTTTGATTGCAGTTGGGCGAGAGTCCTTCAATGCCCCCTCTCCTCCAAGGCGTCCACCCTCTCACCACCCTTGCCGCCCTCAGCAATTGCTCCTCAACCTCTTTCTTCTCATTGCTGCCACTTGCTTGCTTAACAGGTAGACAGCGAGCCAAAGAGCCAGTGTGGTGCCGTGGTCAAGAGCTGGGATCGGGACTCAGGCGATCTGGGTTCAAGTCCCCGCTCAGCCATGGAGCCAACTGGGTGACTTTGGGCCAGTCACAGACTCTCAGCCCAACCCACCTCACAGGGTTGTTGTTGTGGGGATAAGATGGAGGAGGAGAATGATGTAAGCTGCCTTGAGCCCCTTGAAGGAAAAAGGCAGGATATAAATTGAAAAATAAATAAATAAATAAATAAGTGGACAGCTGCATCCACTGCTCCTTCTTCCCACCATCGCCATTGGCTGAGCCTGAACAAGCAGGCTGCAGTGGTGAACATTAAGGGCAAGCCCGTGGGCCCCGATCCGTGGGCCCCTGCTGAGGTATGGGCCCTGGCAGGTGCCTGACCATGGCTACCTTTGATATGGGGCCTGGATAATGCCCTCCCTCCATCTCCAGTCTTCACATCTGGGTCTAGATTCCTTCCCTGCATATAAAGACCACATTGCAGCCAAACTCCCACAAGGAAAAACATCCTTTGTGTTCTGGTTTGATGTCCCCTCTATTCCTCCTAAGATTTCCAGGTTTAGATCAGAACCAGCAAATGCGTACATATACAGTTGCCGGGGTAAAACATATTAACCTGTTCTGCCCCGTCTCAGCAGTCAATGAGTCTGGCTTTCTTCAGGCAGGACTCCTGCACTTTTTCAGCAGCTGTGACTGTTCCTGAAACCAGAGTGCAGGAAAACATCTGTTTGATTTCTGCTTGTCACGAAGCTGTTGTTAAAAGCACGGGAGTCCTGCAGGAAGGCAATCTGGATGGCGGAAAGAAAACCAGCACAAACCCGAGCGTGCTCTCTGTCCTATGGCTCCCTCTGGTGCCCATTGGCTTTCACTACACCTCGAACAAATCGTCTGGGAAGAGTTGCATGAAACATAGAAACAGAATCAGAAGGGGGCCCCCGGGCCATCTAGTATGACCCCCGGCTCCAGCCGGCTCTGCTCATGACATCCCCACCATGTGCATGTCCAGCCTATCCTTGCTTTTGACCTACCTCATGCATGGGATTTCACAAGCAGTCCGTATCATGCAATATTTCACTTATAACTCCCCCACATTTTCTCGATGCTTCTCTCAGCTTTTTTCTTACTGCAGAAAACCCATTAAGGGAAAAAAGGGGGTGGAATTATTGCATTCTTCTGATTAGGAGAGCAAGCAAATACTTTTTTTCAGGGCTGTTTCCAGACAGAGGATTCCTAGCACCAGTACTAAAAAGGAACTGAGCAACTGTTCCAGATATTTATTTTGGTAACTGATTTTTTCTGCTAGGAAAAAGGACAAAAGCACTGGGAAAACCTGAAAGGGCTAGAAGTGGAAGATGGAATCTCAGCCTCCCATAAAATTCTATGAAAAATGCCATGCAGCTGCACAGTAAAAGCCTGATCTGGAGTCACCCCGGGATCCTGAGATTCAGAGGAGACAGAAAGGTCATGTGTCTACAAGAAGGTGAAAGCCCTGTGCTTCAGTTTATAATGTCAATAGAAATGAAAACCATCTAGCAATGTTTTCCACTTGGCGCATATCTCTTTGCCCAGCTTTTATGAACTTTAAGGGGTCCTTCATTTCTTGGGGAGTTCTCTTAATTCTCACATACCTTGCCCCGCAATCTCTAATCGTCTGAATTCTCCCTCTCCAAAAAAACCAACCAGCTCCTAGGCCATCAGCTCCATCACTTTTAGTAGCCCAAGAATTCAAAATGTAAGACTGCAGTGCCCTGCTCACTTAAGCTGTTTCCTTGGAAGTACTGGTTGTACACAGCAGGGCACACTCTTGGTCTTTCAAAAAGCAGGTTTGGCTTAGCACATTTTGAAAAACGCAAAGTAGTACATCTTGCCATCTTAAAATAGGGCCTCATAATATCTTTAAGCCTAGAGTTTAAAATTACTGAACTGTCCCACAGGTTATAAATAAGTCTGAGTTGAATGGGAGCTACTGGAGACAGCGTACCCCAAATCCCACTATCCGCTATGAGACGAAGACCAGAGTCCCACAGATTGAGGCACTGACGAAAAGACAAGGCACGTGGTAGATTGGATAAATATCTTTTATAGTGAAATGCATAGGTGAATCCATTCGTCTATGGTACTGGCTACAGGGAACCACAAGCCAAAGGGGTGAAAATGTGAAGAGATGTCTGGTCATTCCCAAGCTGGGGGTGAGCAAAAAGACCGAGGCAGGAAGCCGACGGAAGACTGTTGTGCTGGAAGGATCGGGAAAACCAGAAGGAGAAGAGCTACACAAATGCTTAGGACAGGACAATGTCCCGGCACCCTCCTGGCCTTCGAAGCATCTTGCTCCTCTGTCTCAAACCAGGAGCTTTGGATTCGATCAGCTTCTGCTCCAAGCCCAGGCCACGGGGGGATGTCACGAGACACACGCGGCCTGGAGCCTGCGCTTGCTCTCAGCCCCACTCCCTCCCGTCTGCTGCACTGCTGGCCCAGGTGGGCTGCATGGACCGAGGCACCGCCTTGGCCATATCCATGCCCCAGATCCTGCAGCCCTCTGTCTGGCACACCAAAGCCATAGTCCCTCGGCCGTACTAGCTGCAGGCCATGGCCTGCCATGCCGAGACAAAAAACCTTCCGTATTTGCAGCCTACCAGAGCTTCTGAGAGGGTGCAGAAGAACTGTTGCTGACCCAGACACACCAAAAGTCTTGTGTGTGAGACGGGAATGACATTTTAATTGTTCACTTTGCTTCTTCACATGTCTTGCGAGCAAAATGGTACCTTCTTCCCCACCCGTCCCCACTCCCCCACCTTCCGTATGCCAGCTAAGGCCAGGATTCATTACTTTGCAGCATAGCAAAGTTGCCTCGAGAACATCTTAAACTCCACTGAGGGTACCCTCTCACGGAAACGGCTAGAATTGGCCACGTCACATCAATGGCTTCATTTTCTATGAGTTTCCACCATGGTGTAAATAAGCCCCAATCTTACCATCTAATGAAATACTTGCCGCGCAACACAGACAGGGTGCCTTTCCCACATTCAAAAATAAAGTAAAAATCACAACCAAGCATATCGACTGTGATTAACTGAGAACTGCCATCTTCAATAGACTGCACCTGTTTGAAAGCCGCCAGGAAGAGACTGCCAGGAGTAGCTTGGGAGAACCGATGCAGCCAGCAGGCTGCTCAGTTAGCAGGAAGGAAACATGGAAAATACGTATAAATAAATAAATATTTGTAGACTATTCATATAAGAGTCCATGCACCAGAGAGAAGGAAAAGTTTGCATTTGGACATGCTGTGTTCTGGAAGAAGGGAAATGTTTTCTCCTCAGAGTCTAGCGCCACCTCTGTCACTGTCATCACTCCCTTCCAGAGTTTGATTTCCAACAGCCAAGTGGGTGAGAAGGGCAGCCATGTTAGAGGAAGCGAGGCAAAGATGCCACTGAGGGGAACAAAGCCAACAGGACTCAAAGGGGTGAGGGCAAGGGGTGGTCAGGATTTCACAGGATTGTGTGGAAGCAGGCACCCTAACTATGCATGAGGTATAAGTAATTAGGGCTGAGGTATGGGTAAATATATCAAGTTTAGGATTACACTATCACACTGTAGCGGATGGGGCAAGGAAGAGCACCACAGAGGTGAAGTTCAGGATTAGGACCTAGGAGTGGGATAAGGAAGGTTACCTGGAAGTATTTCAGGGCTTTGTTTGAACAATCAGTTTGTGTGTGGGGGGGGATGTATTGTTGCCTGATACTTTTGTCAATTTTAAAAATTACTTCACAGGAACACACATCCAAATTTCCTTCATTTTGATGAGTTCTGCCTTAACATTTCAAGCCTGTGAAGAAAAGCTCGTAAAAACAAGAGAAATAGCAGTGAAAGTGTAGCTTCCACCCCCGCCTGGTCCTCCACAGTCTTTTCACTGCAGATTGGCACATGGAGTGGAAATGCACAGGCTGTGCCATCGATCATGTAACTCTCCTATGGCTGGCTGCTTCTCTAAGCTGAATTAAGTTTCACTTGGGTTTAATTATGGCCACTGAATCCCTCCTTATCCACTAGAGAAACCGTACCCCGGTGTCAGCTCCAGGTTTTTGCGGGCCTTTGGGCCAGACACCCTCAGCGGCCTTTGCAGCAAGCTTGTCGTCAGCCACTGTTCCTCCTCATCCTCTTCCTCATTGTCGCTCCCACCTGCCTGCTTGACAGGTGGACAGCCGGTGAGCAGGTTGGCCGCGGCCCCTGCCACTGCTCCATCCCACCACTCCTGTCTGAGCCGGGTCAAGACGGAGCTGGACAAGCAGGTGACAATGGTGAAGAAGAGGGAGCGGTCAAAGGGCCCCTTGCAAGTACGGGCTGCAGCAAGTGTCTAGCTGTGCCCTATCGGAGGAGGAATGGCTGGAGCCCAAACTGCAGGCTTTTTGTAGGGGATGAATACAAGCTGACTTAAGGGGGCCTGCGACAGCTTCACTTTGGGATTTCCATTTGCAAAACCCGGCTTCATTTTATTCCCTCATTAGTCAGGCCATTTTTCAAAGCTTTGGCTCATGTGGTAAACTTGGGCCCAGGGAAGAGGGCAGGGTCAGGGGCCACCCTAAGCAAATTTCAGCCCTGACTCTCATCACTTCTCATTAATATAAACCACTTGGGGATTTTAATAATTCAGAAGTGTTGTCAATTAAATAACTAAAGTAAATGAGGAGAGCCACTTTCTATTGTCCCCTTCCCGATTAAAGTTTGTGGGAGTTTTTAAAAGAGAAAATGGGGATGGTATGAAATTATGCCAAAGGCATCCCATATTTAAGGCAAATCAGGGTCATTTCTGATCATGTTAAAGTTATTCAGTATTCCTGTTATAGGGCAGGGCAATGGGATAGGAGGCAACAGCCCAGGAGTCCATTTCCTTTTCAAATCCTGAATTCAGCCAAATCATGACCACCCCCCTTGCAGTCTTCTTACTATTTTAGCTAAGGAGAGCACCACAAAAGGTAGACAGGCAGGGGACTACTCCTGGTTCCACTGTCCTTAACAGTAATGCCTGGGTGCAGTTTGCCTAGGTTGTGAGAACACAGCCTCAGTTAACCTTCAGGATGCTCCAAAAAGCTAACCATGACTTAGGAGGGGGCCCTGCTTCACCAGGGCTTTTAAAATCTCTCTGTCACTATAGATGTAGATACAGATATACTTAATGTGTGCACGCTCTCATTCTGGACCTCATCAATTTGGTTTTACCCAGAGGAGGTAAGAGAGGGAAGCCACACACCGGATCCGGGAGGCAATTAAGAGAATATTTGGGGGGATCATAAGGTCAGGCTGAGGCTGAGGGTTAGGGCTGGGTTTTGAGCTGGAGCCATGCTCTCAGGAGTGGAGTTCTACAGGCAACGCTTGACTTAGGGATGTTAGGGTCAAAGGTCATCGAGGGTCAGTCTCACACTAAGGAGGTGGGAGAAGGGATCATTCCTGATGGGGAGAGGGGCATCCCTGTTGGGGAGAGGGGCATGCCGGTTGGGGAGAGGGGCAGGCTGGTTGGGGAGAGACTTCCTCGCCGCAGTGTGGATGGATGCACAAATTCAGGGTTGATGTAGGTGAACCCCTGGAATTCACTCTGATCGATGCTTGCCAGGACCAGCTGGTCTGGAGGCGTCAGCGCTGGTGGTGCCCGTGTGAAAAACTTGTCAAAGTTTTCGCCATTCCGGCCACACTGGAATGGTGTGTGGGGCAGAAAAAAGGGGGGCAAGGAGGGATGAAAGGAATAAGGGGAAAAAAGAGAAAGGGGAGAAGAGTTATATCTCAGTCTTTATATCTTAATGTAATCCCTTCTCCTTTGTTTTGTTTTACCTGCTAAGGCTTTAAACTGTTACGGTATGGCACAATATTTCTGAAATTAAAAGCCATGCACCACCATTGAATCTAGAGTTTCAAAAGCCAGTGTGGTGCAGGGTTAGAGTGCTGGACTGGGACCCAGGAGATCTGGGTTCCAGTGCCCACATGGCCACGAAGGTCACTGATTGACAGTGGGTCAGTCAGTCATTCTCACTCTTACCTGCACCAGGTTTGTTGTTGTGAGGATAAAAATGGAGCAGAGGAAGAGCATATAAGCTTCCTTGCAAGAGGACAAAAGATGTGATATAAATGCACCATACAAATGGTGATGGTGATGTTAACTTTTTCAATTTCAGTAACAGATCGTTCACTCTCAAGAAAAAATGTCAATCATAAAACTGTAGATCTTAACATTTCAGAAAACATAATTTGGAGTGCGGAAGAGTCTCATTTTCATATTTACATTTTGGATCAAACAAGAGAGCATCTGCAGGTGCACCCAGGTGAGGCTACTTTATTTATGGGGATTCCAGACCATGTTTTTTCTATTCATAAACTTCTCATGTTTTTGCAGAATGCTTTCCATCTTTTTCCCTATGGCAGAAAGTCCACTGAGCAGCAATGGGATGACTGCACCTTGCTTTCTGTCCGGTAGCGCCAGCAGCTGTCTGCCAGGAGGCACCTTCAGTTAGACCCAGGAGCGCCAGGAAAACCTGCAGTGGATTCACACAGGTTCAGCTTTCTATGAATCTGACCTGTGGATTCCACAGCCAGTTTTTTGCCTTTGGGGTGGTTTGTGCTAATGCATATTTGTCCAAATGAAGAATGAAGAGTAGAATGAAGTTCTCATGCAGTCTTTTAAAAAATCATTCTGTCACTGAGTGGACTGAAAGATGCCTAAAACTCTATGAAGCACCAATGAAACAAATTCTACAAAATTTGTACATTTTTGGTTACATCTGGCCTTTATGCTTCTAAACAAAGGGGTTCAGTCATTTTATCTTTGTAATAAAATATACCACCCAATCTGATGAAGAGTTCAAGAGAACTTGGAAGCTTGCGCCATCTTTTATGGCATTTTGGTTGCTTCTGGCAAAGATATTTTGCTCAACTATGTATTTTAGATATGAACAGATCTCTGTATATGCCCGCAGACAGGTGTGTGGTAGTAAAGTGACGGTGTGCATTACAAGGTCCACGTGCGAACTGTGCCTGACAGAAACAATATACAGCACTGCAGGTATGAGCCGAATTAAACAAATCTGACGCAGGCACAAATAGCAGATGTATGTGAGACTCTGGGCGTGCCTGCCTGCACGGAGTAGCTCCTATCCGCTCACCAGGTGGTGCCAGTTTGCATCACTGCATGTGCCTCAGTTCACTTGGAGACCAAAGGATACTCACTGGCCTGGGGATGAAGGGTGGGGGGATTTCCAGCCGCTCTAGCCTCTCCCATTCCATCCAGCGGAAGAAGCCGTGCTCCCGAATATCTCGCTCCCCATCTGGCCCCGAGCCGAGGCGCTTCAGTGGATGTTTGGTCAAAAACTAGCAGGGGAGATAAACATTGCTTTCATAGCACAGTCTTGTCCTTCCACGGGGCGCAGACTCTCAGCCAAGGCTGCCTGCTTCAGTGGGAAACTACACATTGACTCGGGAAACCTCTGCCCCCAGACCCATATTTGCCAAGAGCTGCAGGGTGAGAGATGCCCACAAGGGAAGAAAGGCAGGGAGGTGAATTCTCCCATGCAAACAACCTTCCCAGCCTTGTTTGCCCTAAAGCAGATTTCACAGTCCAGCTGGGAAAAGTCTACTCAAAATGTTCAGCAGCTAGCTGTTTTGGGAACAGTCGACTTGGGAGAGAAGGGCCAAGCGTATTTCCCATGTATGCCTTCACTCTAATCCTTCCCTGCAAGGGACTTGCCCCACTGAGAAGCTCATCCTTCAGTGTGGCATCGAAAAATATAATGCACAGCCTTTCTGCTCCAGATGTGCCAGTTCTGATCCAAGACTTACCCCCTTGCAGATGGAGACAGCCTCTCGTGAAAGAGATTTGGGATAGGACACTGTGTGCTCCATGATCGACTGAAAGAGTTCGTCTTCATCCTCTCCATCAAATGGTGGCTGTGGACCAGAAGAACCGGCAGCATAAGGAAATGCATTTCCCTCTTTTCAGAAAGCAAACAATTCTCATGGTTTACAAAATTCCTTCAGGCAAAGAGCCTAGCTCAGCCTTCCCCAGTCTGAGACCCTCCAGGTGACTCAGGTGACTCCCAGCATCACTGGCCATTGTCCATGTTGTCTTCTGGGGCAGGTGGAAACTGAAATCCAAAATATCTAGAGGTTGAGGAAGGCTGACCCAGATACTCTGAACCAGCAAGATTTAGTTCGCAGATTCTTTTCCTATCTTGAGGTCTTACTGTCAGAACCAGGAGCAATCTGGTTCCCACCAAGATATCCTCTGACCGGGAACACATGGTGAAAAGACTCCACCCAAGAGCACTCACCTGCCCAGCTAACATTTCGTACAGAAGGACCCCAAAGGACCACCAGTCCACAGATTTCCCATATGGCTGATAGGCAATAATCTAAGACCAAAAGAAACGGGAGATTAGATTACAGCAGACATTCACTCCCTGTTGTTGACCAGCTTATAAAACTAACAGTTAAAAATGTTATGAACCTTATATTCAATTCTAACCAAGATAACAAATTCAAGCAATACAACTCATCCACGAGATGCATTAACACAACTCAATAGATTCTGAACACCCTCTGAAGGGGAGCTGGCCTCACCCAACGTCTGAAAGCTAGTCGGGAAAGAGCAAGGTGAGCATCTCTGGAAAGCAACTTCCACGGCCAAGCACCATGCTCTCCCTGTCCCATTTGGGCACCGTTCGCACTTCTAGTGGAGCAGAGCCTCAACTGACGACCAAGGTAAGTGTGCACAGATTCCTAGAGCAGAAGGTGCTCCATGAGGTGCCACCACGGGTGGGAAACCCTTTCAGCCTAAGGACTGAACTGGCTCCAGGCCATCACGATGGGAGCTGCACTGACGGCAGCGAGTGGGGCCACAGCCCAAAGGAGATGGGGCCACGCTGACTCCTGGGCATGCCTTCCCAGACCCCATTCTAGATACAAACACATACCCTGTTCAAATACAAGCACTCACATAGGGCTGATTTCACCCTTGTATTTCTTGGCAGAGAAAGCCACTCTCAGCAGTCAAGGGATATCAGCCCAGTCTGCATGTTCCAAACAAGCCACCATGGGCTGTTGTAGGGTCACCTGAGGGTTGTTTAACAAGCCATGCTGCTCAGGTGGGGACAGCATGACAGGCCGCTCCTAGCATGCAACAGCATCTACCGTGGCTCCCAAATAGCCACAGTGGATTATTTAAGGCATGGCAGCTTGTTCTGGTTGTGTGAACTGGCCAATTCTCTCAACTCCACTTTCTAAGAATGGAGAACTCAGCAAGAGAGAAGAGCCTCACTGGAAACCCTCACCGGACAGATGGGGAGGCCTAGCGAGCCAAATTTGTCCCAGGGTCTGGTGGTTTCCCTTCTCTTATTTAGACATTTCAGGTCAATAGTGGCATGTTGAATTCAAAACCAAATCTACTGGCAGGGAGCACCACTGATTTAGAATCGCAGTGGGCAGCCCCAGTCAGACAGACCTGCAGGCCACAATCCAGGGCACCAGAGCACCATCTACTCAGAGAGCAGCAGGTGCAGAAGCAAACTCTCAAGGGTTCCTGTGTCACGACCAAGGTAGGATTTAAGTGAATTTAAAAGACAAAACCACACGACATGCTGGGGGCATAATTTTTTTAAAATCAGGGTTAACCAACAATATTGCAGTGGCTGTTCTGTCATATCATGAATGTGGAAGCAATTTTATAGCTGGGAATGGTGACTGAAGAGGGGACCAGTAGAAGAAACGTTGGTTTTGTGCAACAGAACTAAAGAAACACACATGGCCATCTAAAGCCTCACTCCCAATACTCCTTGGCCAACCAGAAAGCATTAGGCTAACAGGCAGCTTTTATACAAATTTAATAAATAAACAAGGAAACGCCCATGGGACCATTACCTCCGGGCAATAAAATTACTTTGCACACTGCTGCAGTGCAAGAGCCTAGCTTGAAGTCTCCAAGGCACTCATTAAAGAGCCGGGATCCATGGCTCCTGAGTCCATCAGCAAAGGAATGGGGTACAGATGGATAGTGTAACATTCACTGCCTTACCACACCCTACACTTTGTGAAGGGCGGACTGAACATGAAGGGGGCAGGAACTTCTGATCCTGGCTGCACACTAGGTTGGAAGGAAAATGAGGCCTGGTGAAATAAGGAGGGGAAGGGGGTATGGTTCATCTCACACATACTTCTTTGTAAACATGCCACCGCAGGTACATGAACAGACACAGCTATAGCTGGCACGTCTGTTTTGGACCTAAGCCTAGAGCACAGAATTTGAAACCAGTATTCTGGACTGTGTAGTAGGCAGTAACTTCAAGGTTAAACGGGGCCAGCAAGGAGCTGAGGTGACAGCAGAAGGAACTTGGCATTTCTTGGGAAGCAGCAGGGGACTGAGTGAGGTTCTTTACCTCTGGAGCGATGTAGTCAGGTGTTCCACAAAAGGTCCGGGTGGTGACTCCAGGAAAAATGTTTTCTTTACACATTCCAAAATCTGTGATCTTAATATGACCATCCGCATCCAACATTACATTATCCAGCTTCAAATCCCTAGGCAGGAAAGACAACACACACAACTGGAAGACTATCTTCTCAGTAGAGGGCGCCAGATCACACCCAGGATGATGTGAGTCAAGCATCTGGATCTGCCTATTACCTTCTTAATATGGGAAGGAAATATACTAGAATTAGAGAGTTGCACAGGGGAGAAGGAGGAGAATGGAGCTGGAGCTCCGGCATACTCAAGGAAGGAGTGGGAGTTGGCAGGGCTTTTAGCAGAAGCCTGCATTTTCAAATCAGATTCAGGAAGGTGAAGATACAGGACAACAATCCTAGACTCACCTGTAAATAATCCCCTTATTATGCAAAAAGAACAGACCGATTGCAATTTCTGCTGCATAAAACCTACAAGAGAAGATAAGAGAAAAAGGTCATGGTATGGGGACAGCAAGAAGAGAAAGGCAAACATCTCCCTAGTCGTAATGGCAGAAGAGTCTTGGTGACAGCTCTAATGGCTGTTTTCTGTATTACATGTAAGAGATGCATGCAGCTACATCCTCCTGCCAAGCCATTCCAGTCTCATTCACACATCACTTTTCCCCCATGTTAAGTACGAATACTCATACTGAAAATCACAATGTGTGACATTATAATGTGTGCCCAATAAGGCAAGTGTGTTTCATTCTAGTTGCAAGTGATAAGCTACTGAAAAGACCGACTTCCTGGTGCATGTACCAAGATTTTTTAAAAATCCCGTATCTGAGAAACCATTTACATGTTACCAAGAATGAAGGTTGGCTGGGTATTAGTGCCCAAGCATGAGTACTAATCTTCAGTACTCAGGTATTAATAGTACATAGAAGTGTGACTATTAATTCCTCTGCATCTAACGGTTCATTGTTTTTAGGTAACAGCATAGCATTGATAAGAAATCAGGTCCCTGCCCCAAGTAGCTTCCAATCTAAAATGTGACGCGTGGGAGGTAGCAAAGCAGAGGTTCTGTTTTCTGCTGTGGGCCAAAACCCCTTGGGGATAATCTGTTAGAGGCCACATGCCAACAGTGGGTGGGACCAAAGCCATAAGAGGACAAAAAATATTATTTCTCTCTGTCTCACTCTCTACCAGGAAAAGATCAGATCCCTCGCATGAAAAGTCTGAGTGATGGCTCACAGGTGGGTTGAAATTTGGGCCAGAGGCTACATGAAATTAGGCCAGGAGCCACAAGTTGTCCAGCCTGACAGAATAAAGACGCAGGGAAGATTTCAATGGGAAGAGCACTTAATCACAACAGTTACGTGTAAGTCGAGGGCCAGTGTGGGATGATGCTTCGCATGACCCAGGCCCCCCACTTGGCCAGAAAGTTTACTGGAGTCTCAGCCTGCATTATTTCGCAGGGCTGTGAGGAAAACTGAATGGAACAGTTCCTTGGAGAAAGGTCAGGACAAACACATCATACACAAATAAGCTTAGATTCAGGAGAGAAGGACTAAGGATGAATCCTGAAGGGTAAGCGGTATGAACTGGTCCTGCAAACGCAAGCAAGAAAACAAACTAGTCCTGCCAACCCGCTCCAGGTCAGAAGCAGAACTACTCTGACTTTTTTGACAATGGCTGCTTCTGCATGATTACCACAGGGGCAAGTTTCCACACCCTGTGCAGGGCAGTCATGCACTGCGTGATTTGCCTGGTTACCCTTGCAGTCATGTGGGCTGCCACATCATCCAAACGAGGCAGCAGCTTCCAAACCATCCTACAAGACACCGTGAATTCTTGGGGGTTTGGGAGCCACACCTACCACTCCCTGCAAGAAAAAAACTAGTGCATCAGGGAGGAAGTTTCTAGCCCAGCTACATTTCCTTTGCAGGAAGCACTGCTGTCGTTTTGACAAAGCAGACTATTTAAAAACGCAAGCCCGTCATCCCTGCGCAGCCTGCTCCTTCAGCCGTCTGACCCTTCTATGGTGATACTGCGCTGGAGGAGCGCTCCGCAAGTTCCATGTGGCATTCATGACCGATCTCCAGGCATTTTCTCCCCCGCCATGCACGTGCCCATACAGCTTTTCCTGAAATGCCCTGCACAGTGGAGGCACTGCTATTTGCTCCATGAGCAAGATAAAAAGGTGGGACAGACGTCGTGCCTGCTACGTTTCATTGAGAGAGCAAGTAAGCATAGGATTGGATCCAGGAAATGACACTGAGTATCTCCCTGAGCCCCTGCACCATTTCCCTGCTCAGAGGAGCACCCCCACACACTCCTCCTACTGGTACGTAGTTAAAAAACACTTTGGGCAGCACTAATCATGTATAGTTTGGCCCTAAAGCAGTGAAATTTCTGTGAATCCTCAGCTTAGGCATCCCCTGTGCAGCCCCTTAACCCAAGAGAGATGGGAAGCACACACTGAGAATTTCCCTGCAACATCTCTAAGCTTAGGAGTCGCGTGCCAAGAGAGGATGGTGGTGCTATTTGGGACAGTTGGCTTGTTGGCCAGTTTTGACACATTACCATTATTGCTATTGTAGTTGCTGAATGACTGGATGAAGTGCCTTTCTCTTTTAAAAGAACCCAAATGATTTACAAAAAATTATTTAAAAACATACAAAATATTGAACAGCTAAAAGCAATTTCCATCAAAATACCATAGGACAACTGAAACATTAGAAGAACCATAATCAAGGTAAGTGATGCATACAAAATCCATGATAGGCTGACAAATGTGCTGAAAAGATGACAATATTGGAACCAGACAGACATCACTGAGGAAACTGTTCCATGGTCAGGGTGCCACCACTGAAAAGGCTCCTCTCCCTTGTGCTATCCTTCAAAACTCTCTCACAGGAGGTGCCCTGAGCAAAAGACGTAATTACCACTCTCAGGAGCCATCTTATGGTTTGTCTTGATAAAACGAGCAGTTCTCAGATGTGATCACCCTTGAGCTGGAATGACTATTTTCCCAGAGAAAGAGAGAGATCCATTCCTTAAAAGAATTTCCAAGAAGACTTACGTACATAGCATGTGGTTCCTTGAATTTCCCAACCTGCTGGATATGATACATCAAGTCTCCTCCATTGACATATTCCATAACAAAATAGAGCCGATCCTTGAAGGAGAAGAGTAGGATATGCCAATTACTAAACCAGACTGACAAAATAAGGAACTCTAAATAATGCCAAGTGCTTCTTACTTTCTCCTCTACTGCCTTCCTGACTATGGAATAGGCTAATACAATAGGGGTTAATGGCTAATCAGTTAACACTTTGATTTGCTAAAAACATAGCCCAATTCACTTCTAGGAATGGCAATTTTCATTTTTTTTAATGGCACTAATTTGTAGGCCGCAAACCTTCTTAGCCAAAGCTTTTCCTTCTCTAAATGCCTCTTGGAAAATGAGTTTTACTGTGATGCATGCGCAATCCAAAAAATAAAGGAAGCATACTTATTGCTTACGTTAGAACATTTTTTCAGGTGTGCAAATCTATGTGATCAATCCACCAACAAAGTATGCAATCCTAAGCATGTTTAGGCAGAAAAAATGGCCTACTTGGACATCGCCTGCTTTTTTCAGTCTAAACATGCATAGGCTTACACCCTAAATGGCTAAGATTTCCCGAAATATGGAGCCACGGGGATTACCGCAGTTTGGAAGGTAGAGTGCAGCTGTGTTAGGAAATGGGGACGCTCCCCCATGGCCAAGACACGCTTTTCTACCATGGTGCATTCAACATCATCATCCTGAATGATCACATCCTTCTTGAGGATTTTGATGGCAAACAGCTCATCGGTTCCACGGCGCTCTGCCAGCATCACCTGTAGGGAGAGAACCATGACATTTTGGGACTTGTTACCACCCACCCCTAAAAACTTAGGAACCCTGGCTTCCCTGACCCATTCATAACCTCTTAAATTAGCCCTTTCAGATGTTTTGGAAATCTTCCCCCAGCCCAAATCAGCATAGACAATGGGAAGATGGTAGTTCAAAATGACGGGAAGAACCCAAATTAAGGTAGTATCACTGCCTTACAGAAAATCCCATACTCTGGCAGGAGACAGGCAGTTGTTTCTGAGTGAGTTAAATGTATTACATTAAGAGATTTGTTTTTTGTATGAGGTACGCACTTTTGATTAATTGTTCTCTCTAGTCACAGCTTTTCCAAAAAACATATGAAAAGAGACAAGGATAGTGTCAGCCAGTTTTGCTAAATTAAAATAGCCTGCAAGCCACCAACTTAACTGACCTATCTGAAGGTGGTTAACTTTGCTGGGGGCCATTCAGAGGCTTTTTCAAGAAAAGAAAACTGCCAAAGGGTTCCTGAGACTGGAGGGCTTTACCACCTGCGATGCTAGGACTGGCCCAACAGATTTTGTGGCCCAAGGTGAAGAGCAAGATGGCCACCTAGCCATTCCTGGTACAGAAGCTGTCTGGACTCACAGATGAATCTTTTATCAGTGCTGGCACCAGGACCGTGTCCTACGCCACACCTGAGGAAACATACTAAGGGTTCTTTGGGTGTCGAGGCAGGGGAACAGCACAAAACATATGGTGTGGCATATACAGCTCAGTCCTCTGTCAGAGAGGAACAGCTGAAAAGTCCAGGAGGAAGGATGCCTGAGGCGTCACCTCACACTGGCGTCTCACGTAGCAGAGACGGGCTGGAGTGGGCCGCAGCAGCGGCATCCCATTCCTCTGCTTGTTTGTTTTTCCTTTAACTGCCTTTATCCATTTCTAAAATTCCACTGCCACAGGCAGCTGGCGGAGCTCATCTTGGCCAGCTGCCATTTTCTTATTGGTTGGTTTGTTTGTTTTTTGTCTGTTTAGTAAGGAAATTATATCCTGCCTTTTCTGCTTTTTTAAAAAACACATTCAAGTTGGCTCACAATACAAATTTCATCATAACCAATAATTAAAACATATAAAAAACTAAACCAGTTGAAACAGAGACAGAGGTAGCAGATACAATGCCACAAAAATACCAGGAGAAAAACCCTAATCAGCTTGACAGGGCAGGTTTCGGCTGAAGTAAAAAGCTCTTTATGGAGACTATTGGAGACAGGAAAAGGCAGGCCTCCAGGGTGTTGCTGGGCATTTAAGGGATTTCAGGCTTGGGTCCATAGGACACAACAAAACTGCATTATGCAGTATGTATCAATACATGCAGATTTAGAAGTAATTACTAGGATTTAAATTTCACAGGGGGCAAAGCCAGCCAATTAATTTCTCATCCAAGTAATCTCAGATAAATTCTTGAATTAGTTTGCTCCCTGACCCACATCACACAAAAACAATCGAAGGTTTTTCCTCTGAAGCCTATTTGCCATGCAGAAAAAGACTGCAGGGAGGGGAGACGGGGCTTTGGCAGCATGTGGGAAGCACAGAATTCACTTTTCCTCCCCAGCTGCTACCCCTCTTGAAAACACACCCCGATTTTGGGGGAAACTTCTGTTGACCCCAATGGGAACTCGGGGCTCTGTGAAATAGACTTGGGGTCCCAGGGAACAGATTCAGGCCTGGGACCACACAGGAAAGGGCTAGCAGGGAAGGAGGGAAGGAGGAGTTTGCAGGGAAAGAGGCTCCCAATCTATGTGCAGGCACAGAGAAGGTTCTCTCTTGTGCATATCCAGGCACATTTCTGATATCAGAACACAGAAAGTTCCTCTGATCGTCTTCCCTTCAGAATGCCTGATGTAGCAACTTACTGGGGCACTCCAAGCGGAAAACGGAAGCCACATCATTGTACACCACAAGCAATGGTACTTCTGCCTTTCATCCCTGAAAAGAACTGTAGTTTGTCTCCAACTTCAGGAATTTAACTTAGAAGCCTCTCCAGATCATGTCAGAAATGGATTTTCTTCAAAGGCCTAAAGCAGCATGAGCCTCAGTAGGCACAATCTGCAGAGATCTAAGGTGGAAAAGTAAATAAAAGCTTCTCCAAATAGCGGGACAGTAATGCTGACAGGGTGGCCTGTGGGGACAAATAGATTTCTAGTATTTTTCTTGAATGAAAAGTAGTTTTTGTACGTCAATGCTTTTCTCACACCACGTCTTCAAGTGGAAACAAACCCCGTCACATACAATATACTAGTTCTTGCACCTTTATAGCCTCTCCACTCCTCCATTCACACCCATGCTCCTTGCTCAAGTGCAGGCCCACCTTCCCAAAACTGCCTTTTCCCAGCACCATGAGAAAGTTGAAGTCGGAGATGTGGAAGCGGTTAATGCCAAAGAATCCACCCCGCTTGGAGTCCGTGGGGCTTGGGGATGGCGACGAGATGGGGCCATGACGAACCTTCTGCAGGGCACACGGCATAAAGGGAGAAGAGAGAGAAAACACAGACATGGAGAGGTATGAGTCCCTGATGCTTGCTCAGAGCAAGGGAGATAAGAAGTGATGCTGCAGCTTCTGCAGTCCCTGGACCATGGAGAGTCATCTCCTAACTGAGACTGCTTGCCCCCTTCTTTACCCCTTTGTTGGTTTTGTTGAAATGGAACCTGGTGCAGTAGAGAAATCGCCTAAAGAACACGTGTGATGTACATGTGCTAAAATTCTCAGTGGTTAGGAAAAGTTTGGGAAACTGGTGCATGAGGAAGAAAGTAGACTGGGAATATGTGCAGTTCCAAATGAACTCTTTTAAAGCGAGGGTTATGGGCAGGGGGAAGGCAGGGCACAGAGGTACAACATAAGAAGAGGAAGTGTCATGCCTCAGTAGTAAAGCATTTGCCCTGAATGCAGGAACTCCCAGGGTTATTCCCCAGTTTTCACTGCTCCCACTTAGAGCCAGGAAGGACCTCTGAAATTTTGGAAAGACCAATTTTGGATCGGACCAAGACAGATGCCCCAATTTAGCATAAAGCAGGCTTCTACCTTCAAGGAATCACCCTATGGGGAGGCCCAGAAATAGCCAGTCTTGTCTTGGAGATCTCTGATACTTTGTCTTTCTTTCTCTAAGTCTTTTGCCCCCTCCCCAGTACTTACTTACTGCTCTCCACTCACCTCTTTCCAAAGAATGTTGGAGTAGATTCCAGACAGACAAAAGGAAATACTTCTTCATCATGCAATACAAAATTAGCAAGTGGGATTCCACCTATAGCTAAAATGGTTCCCAAAGATGACAGAGGGTATGTGTGCCTAGACTTGCCGTGCTCAGTGCTACAGTGGTTGAGGCCAGATGCTGAGGACAAACGGGAGCAGATGGCCATCTCCAGAGCTCCTGCGTGTCAGAAGCTCAGGAACAGCCTGCACTGGCTGGATATGGTTGCATTTGCTGAACCTTTCCCCTGAGGGAGTGTGGCTGTTCTACCATGCCCAAAAGCAGCTCTGTGGCTGCACGATGTTCTTATGGGCAGCAAAAGCCGGGCCTGCTCCACCCCATTGCATCGCACCCAGGAAAGGTTGGGCAGGGAGGGGGAATGAAGAAACGGCCAATACCTCGTAGAGTTCCAGGGGGAAGTTGCAAGCCTGAAAAGCAAAAGTATCAGCACTCAGGCAGATGCACGTGTAGCTTTTGCCCCATCCCACCATCTCCTGGTTAGAAATATCATCTCGGGTTAACTGCCAGTTATCCAGCCGGACCACCCACTTGCCCTCCCTTCAGGTCTTCAGAGAGAAAATGATCCATAGGTATTCCCGCTCCAACCCTGCTCCTTTTGTCACAGCAGCATCCCTAGCTGTGAGGTTGTACAGGCACTTTGCGGTCGGGCTGGGACCAGGGAAGGGCCGATCCAAGCAGCACCAGGAAGCCACAAGGTTACCTCAAATTTCTGCAGCAGCCCACAGTTTTCTGCATCAGCCACAGGGACACTATAATATTCGCCCTCCTCCTGATTGAGCAATTTGTACCTGGGACAGCAACGCAGACAGGGACACCAAGCAGGGAGAAGAAAGAAGATGAACAGGTGAACAAGAATATGACGTGATTAGGGGGGGTGGGTGACAAAGAGCAAATTAGGAGGAAATGGGAGTGGAAGAGTAGAATGAGCAGACAGAGGTAATGATGAAAGGCGTTTGATGGATTAGATGAAATAGATAGATCAGGTAGATTAGATAATGGAGCCATCCAGGCAAACAGATAAAAACCCAAATAGACGCCAAGACGGAGGGGAAAGAGAAAGAAAATGAGCCACAGGCAGCCCCCTTAGCTGTCCCATAATTCTCTTCCATCTTCGCTTCTGCCCCCGCCCTGCTGTTTCCCCCTTACCAGCCTTCCACAGGGCCCTTGAAAAGCTCGGAGACCCCAAAGGACATGGCTCCCATGAAATCATTGCGGGTGGTCCGGTCCCAGTCCCACACCTCAATGGAGAGACGCCGCTCCAAGTCACCCGGCTGCAGGGTACTGTGGGGGACAGACAAAGGAGAGGCTGGAGTCAAAATGTCTGCATATATAGATGGATAAATAAGGCCCTCAGGTCTTTAGCATTCAGGCTCTTCATCACAGAGACTCACGGACTTACAAAATGAATGTTTCGTTCCACACTGGATTGAGGGTGGATCTAACTGTCCGGGTCTTTTGCTTCGTTAGGTTCTTAGGGTCAGGGATCAGCTTGAGTTTCACGTAGGGATCCGAGAGACCATTGGGATCCATCGGGATCAAGTTAAGCGCTTCTCCAACTGACAAAGAGCAGAGCGGGAGGAAGAGACGCAGATATTAGCTTCCAACAGAGAAAGTACTGGGGGAGAGCATGAGGGGGCGGGAAGGCAGACCTCCTGCATTCTGTGGCGGTTGAGGGAGGAGGTTCTCCTGGCGCCTGTCCCAGGCCACCTGCTGTGAAAGTTGCTGTGGCAGCAATTGCTACCACCCGCACATGTGGGGTGTGGGGACACGAAAGAGATAGTAGAGGGGTGGGCGAGGAAATCCCCTTCTGTCAAGAGACCGGCCATGATGGCTTTCTTCTCACCGCCTACATGCCGGGTTGCAGAGTGGAGGGAGAAAGCGAGTGAGAAACTGTGCAGGGGAAGGTGTGAAAGGCAGAGGCGGGGGATGTCAAGTTCTGCAGCTAGGAATAGAACCCAGGCGTCCCAACTCCCAGCCTCCACTAATTCAGTCGGTCCCACTCTCCAGCCCAACCAGATCAAGGCCTCCTGCTTCCTGCTTGCTTGCCTTCTGCCTCGGTTTCAACAGTTTCGCTCCAGAAGAGGCCAGGCCAGCTTCGTGAGCTCCAGCCTCCACACCTGGGTTGACTGTTTCAAACGACAACAAGTTGGATGCAGACTTAATCATGCTTGGAGCAAACACAATGAAAGTAATGGGACTTAAGCTTATCATCACCAAGTTCCGTTGATTTCAATGCATCCAGTCTACATATGACACAATCTGTATCCAACCTGCTGTCATTGTCATTATTTTCATACACGTAAGAGAAATATAGAGGAACAGTTGTGCGTAGGGTTTGTATACTTGTGCATGCACACACACACACACACACACACTTTCTAGGTGATCTGCTAGAGCACACTTTGCTGACCATGTTCCATAATTTCACCTGCCATTGTCCCAGAGCCATATGAAAAATGGCCACCGTAGCACTGGCTTGCACTAGCAATTTTTTTTGAAGATTTGAAGTTGTGGCATGGTGGTTTCCATCTCAAGAATGAGAGTTTATTTTCTGACTAATTAAAAAAATCAGTTAAATGAGATCAGCAGTGGCTGGTGCACCCCCAAAAATGGTAGCATCCCAACTAGGAAGAGGGAGATCTGAGGGTGAGGAATTTAAGTTTGAGGCCCTTGTCATGGTCAGATCACTTCCACATAAGGTTTGAGCTCGAGAGCGGCCTTTCCCTCTGTAAGGGTGCGGACCAGATTGTATTGGTCCACCCCCAGAGCCGGATGGATCCTGATGGATTCCTGGAAGCTCTGGGGGATTTTCCGGTTGACAAGGCTGGTGATCCTGTCAATGCCCTGGTTGAACTGTGGAATGGGGAGATGACCAAGGCTATTGACACAATCGCTCCCAAGTGTCCTCTCCCACCTGGCAGAGCCCGTTCATCTCCTTGGTATACACCTGAATTACGGGCGATGAAGTAGGCTGGGAGACATCTAGAGCGTAGGTGGATGAGATCACGGGGTGAATCTGACCGAACACACTTAAGAGCCCATTATTGGGCCTATGCTGTGGCGGTGAGGACAGCGAAGAAGAAATTCTTCTCCGCTTCCATTGCCTCCTCACAATGCCATCCGGCGGAGCTCTTTCGGGTGGTGCAAGGGCTGATACATCCAGGCCCAAAGAAAGATCTCATACCACCCTCAAAGGTCCGCTGTGATGACTTTGCCAGGCATTTCAGGGAGAAAATCGCTCAGATTCGTCACGAGCTTGACTCTACTATTGTACCAGATTCTACTGAGGAGATGCCAACAACGCCGTCGAGTCCACAATTAATGGATGGATTTCAGTTGTTGCGACCTGATGATGTGGACAAGGTGCTTGGACAATTACGCCCTACCACCTGCTTACTAGACCCATGCCCATCCTGGCTACTTAAGAAAGCCAAGGACAGGATTGGCACCTGGATCCTGGAGGTGGTCAACGCCTCTTTAAGAGACGGTTGGGTACCGTCCTCTTTAAAAGAGGCGGTAGACCGACCAGTCCTAAAGAAGGCATCCCTGGATCCAGAGGTGGCCGCCAATTATAGACCGGTGGCCAACATCCCGTTCCTGGGCAAGGTGCTAGAGCGGGTGGTGGCGGGACAACTCCAAGCATTCTGGGATGAAACTGATTATCTGGACCCATTTCAGTCCGGCTTCCGACCCGGGTACGGCACTGAATCTGCCTTGGTCGTCCTGTACAATGACCTGTGCAGGGAGAGAGACAGGGGGAGTGCGTCCCTGTTAGTTCTCCTGGACCTCTCAGCGGCTTTCAATACCATTGACCATGGTATCCTTTTGAATAGGCTAGTGGGATTGGGAGTTGGAGGCACCGCATGGCAGTGGTTCCGCTCCTATCTCAACGGCCGATTTCAGAAGGTGGTGCTGGGGGACTATGGCTCTGCGCCATGGCAGTTATGTCATGGAGTTCTGCAGGGGTCCATTTTGTCCCCCTTGCTATTCAACATCTACATGAAACCGCTGGGAGAGGTCATCAGGAGGTGTGGGCTGCGGAATCATCAGTACACTGATGATATCCAGCTCTACCTCTCGTTCTCCACCAATCCAGGTGAGGCAGTGGCTGTGCTGAACCGGTGCCTGGCCAAGGTAATGGGTTGGGGGAGGGCCAATAAACTGAAGCTCAATCCAGACAAGATGGAGGTCCTGTTGGTGGGTGGTTCAGGCCTCGGGATGGGGGACTTGGGCCTTGTCCTAAATGGGGTTGCACTCCCTCTGAGGGACAGGGTTCGCAGCTTAGGAGTGCTCCTCGACCCTGAGCTGTCTTTAGAAGCCCAGGTGACGGTGGTGGCGAGGAGCGCTTTCCTTCAGCTTTGGCTGATCCATCAGCTGCGTCCCTTCCTGGAGAACGACTGCCTGGCAACAGTGGCACACACGTTGGTAACTTCCCGATTAGATTTCTGCAACGCGCTCTACGTGGGGCTACCCTTGAAGACGGTCCGGATACTTCAATTGGTGCAGAATAGAGCTGCCAGGCTGCTGACGGGGACTGGGCGTTGTTCTCATATAACCCCAGTTCTCCGTCAGCTCCACTGGCTCCCGATTGAAGTCCGGGCCCAATTCAAGGTGTTGGTTATGACCTATAAAGCCCTCAACGGCTTGGGCCCTGGGTATCTAAAGGAACGCTTGCGTCCATATATGCCCTCCCACCCCTTGAGATCAGCAACAGATGCCCTTCTCCGGGCACCCTCTGTGAATATTAGGAGGGTGAGTACCCGGAGGGGGGCCTTCTCTGTGGTGGCGCCCCACCTATGGAATGCGCTCCCCAGAGAGGTCTGCCTGGCGCCGTCGTTATTTGTTTTTCGGCGCCAGGCTAAGACCTTTTTATTTAAAACTTATTTTAAGTGTTAATTTATTATGTAGGATTTTAAAAAAATTTTAAGCCAAGATGCACCGGGTTTTAATATTTTTAGTGTATAATTTTTGTATGATTTTGTTTGTTTTTGTTTTTGTTTTGAGCCGCCCAGAGGCTTTGTTGCGATGGGGGCGGCATAGAAATATTTTAAATAAATAAATAATAAATAAATAAACTAGTACAACCTAATGCTTTTTATGCAGAAGCCCTGTTAGGTTTAATGAGACTTACAGCAGGAAAAGGTATATAGAATAGCAGTTTAAAATATACTTAAACACTCAGACTTGGTAATGGAGATGCAGAAAGTTTATATTGATTAGGAAGAAATCACTGACTTCCCATGCAGTTCCAGAAAGCCCTCCACTCCAAAGAAAGCTGGCTGACTTTTCAGAGACGAAGTCCTGCATTATCTACATATTTTCATATTTGAGAGTGGCAAATACAGGCTTCCGTAGTTTTTGATCCTTTTCTAGATAGTCAAAATATGGAAACCAGATGCTGGGGTAAATAGCACTCAGGGCTTATCCAGCAGTACCCTATTTATGTTTTTATAAAAGTATGTGGCAATGCCTGCTGAGATCTGAAGACACCAAGGAAGGGATTGAGTGAGGACACCAATGCCCTTAATAATTCTTGTACTAGCAGAAGCGTAATAAATTATACATACAGAAAGCCAAACAGAGACACAGAAAGGAGGCAGACAGACCCACTGAAAGAGAAGAAAACTGGGTTCTGCAATGTGTAGTTAGCCTTGGTTCTGCCTGTGTCATTCTTCAGCAATCCCATCTCTATGAGGCTAACTCTGCACGATGCAAGAATGGGAACGCAGCTTGGGAAGGAAAGCTTTTGGAGCAAAGAAGCAGTGGGGGGCAGGGGAGCATTCTCAGCCTTTTCCTTCCAGCGCAGTTTCTTAGCAGCAGCAGCAGCTGCAGCACAGATGAACTGACCTGATGGGCAAGGCACCACGGCTTCTTTCCATCCCGGTACAGGCTGGACACATGTGGGGCAAGGTTTCGACAATCAGGTGTGACTTGTCATGCTGTCTGAACCTGGGCAGCATGGCTTGCCAGAGGGGAAAACCACACTCCAGTAAGCCCTGAGCTTTTGTGGGATTATTGGAGGGATTATTGTTGCTTCCCCTACAACAAGCCATGCCAGCTGTGCTCAAATTTTGGAATTACACTCCATGCATGGTGCAGTTTATTCTGCTTGTGGGAACGGCCCCATCATGTAAGGCCATTAGCTTTAAAATGGAACCAAGGAAGCTACTTGGTATGAGACAGAACACTGGTGTTGACGCACCAGCTGCATGTGCTTCTCATGGGAAGTCACCCTGCAGATAAGTTGCCAGATGGGCTTGTGCTCCCCTTTCTCCTCGCTTAGTCCTGTTGGTACTCCATTGTCCTTTCTGCAGAACCTGTCTTGTCCCCTCACTCTGGTCCCCACCCCACTCTGATCATGAACTGTTTCCATTTGCCACCTTAAAAAATCCTTCTCTTAGGAGTATGTAAAGGGGGCAGGTTATTCTAATAATGATTTCAGCCTCAGAAAATTGCACAAATGTCTTCGTAATTTTTAATTATAATTTTCTTTCCAGTTGGTCTTCCGCAGTGCACATTTTCAGACTGGCCATATGCAGTCTTATCCTGTCAATTTTCTTGCATGTTACTTATTGCGTTTTACTCCCTTGAGACAGCTGAAACTTACAAGAAAATTGACATACCAGACAAATGCAAGTGTGCACTTTGGAAATACCCACAAAAAACCCCCAAAGAGTTTTGTACAATTTTCTGGGGGATGGCAAGCAAACGACAGTTCCCTCAAAATGCCATCTGGGCTGGCATGGGCAAGAACAAGAAGAATGGTGGGGCATTTGCTGCTTTCACTGAGTGACTCTATAGCTGATCTTGGCAACTCATAATAAATTTGCTCTCCTGAGTTTCGATAAGAAACTTCAGATGGAAGCCAGTGATCCTACGCCAATTTGGCCCCATTAACCTCATGCAAGGCCTTACCAGTCACACGAATTTCATCACTCCCAAACGTTTCAATGTGGAGTTTCAGGCGCCCCCGGCGTTCTGTATGGTCCACACCGCACAGGCTGGGCACACAATGGACACAGCGTTTGTGGACGTTCATCTCACAGCCTGCAGAAGGTAACAGAAGTGGACATGTTGGCTGGGACTAGATAACCACAGAGAGCAACTTGGTTCCCCAATAGCTCCATGACATGCAGTCCATTAAATGGCTGGATTAACTAACAGAAGTAATTGTGGTAGAGAATAGTGCTGTCACACCATCCCAGACAACTTGGTTGATTAACTATATGACTTTGCATTGACTGAGCTATTTATTTTTTAAAAGCTTGTTTATATTTTCTGTGTATCTTGTTCCATGGCTAACTATGCATATGTTGCTTAAGCAAACATTCAAAAACAGCATCTCCCACTTGCAGGCTGTACTGGTAGAATTTATTCTCCCACCTCAGGATTCCCCCAACTCATTCCATTGCTTAGGTAGATACAGCCTAAGTCAAAACTAATTTTAACCAGCTATGCCATGTAATATATTGCACAATACAGTCTTCTCTAGTATTTAGTAAGACTAAAGGGGCACTTGTAGAGGCCTTCTTCAACATACTCAAAAAGTAAACAAAAACACAACCCCAGGCATTGTTGCTGCAACCCTGCATAGAATCATATAAGAGTAGAGTTGGAAGGGGCCATGAAGGCCATCAAGTCCAGCCCCCTGCCGTTGCAGGACACCACATTACATCATCCCTCTCAGATGGCTGTCCAGTTTCTTGTTGAATGTCTCTAGCGTGGGAGAGCCCACCACCTCTCCAGGCAGCTGGTTCCACTGTTTATTGCTCTGACAGTGAGGGAACATTTCCAGATATTTAGCCTGAATCTGAGTTGTTGCAAGGTATCCACGAGAAGAGATCTTGACTTTCCCCTTTGTGACAGCCTTTGAGGTACTTACAGGCTTCGGCAAGGGGCGGCATAGAAATGTTTTAATAAAATAAATAAATAAATAAATAAATAAATGTCCCCCCTCAGCCTCCTCTTCTCAAGGCTGAACGTGTCTCTTAGTCTTTCTTCATAGGAATTATTTTTGGTAAATCCATGTTGGCTTCTATTAACCAATGCATTGGCTATTCTCAGCTCATTTCCTGCTTTAGCCTTTCTGATGCCATATACTCTTCCTTTGTGGTCTGTCCCTGCTTCCCCTTCCTGTACATGTTCTTAATATTTTGCTCCCTTTAAATTAAGCCAGATGTTTTCAATGGGGATACTAAGTTCCTCTTCTTGTATTTCTGCACAGATATATGTGTCTCTCACATATAATGCAACTCCACCCCCATTTTTGTCCTTTCTATTTTTCTTGAACAGGTTGTATCCATCAACAGTAGAGTTCCAGTCATCTGAATCACCCCATCAAGTTTCATTTATTCCTATAAGATCATAATTGCCCTCATGTACTATGATATCAAGTTTGGGAGGTTTGTTTCCCATACTCTGGGCATTGGTGTAGAGACTTGAAGTTTATTCTCATTGTGTCCTAGTTTGCTTCCTACATTTTTTGGGAGACTAGTGTTGGGCCCTGCTTAGCTTTTTCTCTGTTGAGATATATAAGTCTTTGTTAGGTCATGGTATGCCATGCTGCACAACTTCCTCCACGATACGTTTTAATTTAAAGCCCTCCTGATTAACTTTTTCACACAGAGGCCAAACATAGCCTTTCCATTCTTTGTGTGGTGCAGCCCATCATTTGCCAATAGTTTATCTTCCAGGAACCTTAGCATGTGAACCCAGAATCCAAATCTCTCTTCACAGCACCACCATCGTAGCCAGTAATTCACTTGATGGATTTTTCTTTCCCTAATAGTTTCTCTTCCATGTACTGGCAAGATTGGGGAGAAGACTATCTGAGCCCCAGCGTTTTTTTATTTTCCTAGAAGTAGCATAATCATTACTCCTGCACTGAAGATGTGAGGTTGAGTCTTCAGGGGTGGGGGGGTTGACCTAAGCTCATCCAGTACATACAAGATAAATCTGGGATTTGAGCTGGGGACTTCCCATTCATTGTTAATGCCCTTATCGTCTATGTCACAACAGTTATCTGATAAAAGAAGTTTTTGTTTTGGGGAGTCCATGCTGGAAGTTGGTCTTTAATGGATGAAGAATCTGAGGCCTGGTGGTTAAATCATGTGGATTCCACACATGGCCTGCCCTCTTCTTCCCAACCGCCAACCACTGGGTAGTTTCCTGACAGAAAATTGTTGTGCCAATTCTCCCCATTCTAACAGGTTGATCTGCCTCTCCTAAGGCTTCATTACTGAGGTAAGAACTTTAGCTTACAATTGCTTTTTATGTTGGCTCCGCCCCTTTTGCCTTTGGCCCCACCCACTGGAAGCCTCTCTGGAACGGACTATGGCTCTCAGGCTGGAAGATGTTCCACCCCCTGGTTCTCAAGTCCCACAGCATTCTTTTTGCTGCCACGAGCCACACAACTGGGGGTGAGGCGAATACGGACTCACAGGTGCATTTCATCCCCTGGTGCACCAGCCCGTACAGGAGAGAGCCGCAGTGATCACAGAAGGTTGGGCTGCTGTAGCTATGGATTTTGAACTTATGTTTGTTCCGGGGATCCTGTAAAAAACCACAGAAAGCACATCATTAGTGAAAATGAGACACTATACCTGGCGTGGGCAACCTGATACTGTCCAGATGTTTTTGACTACAACCCTTGATCACTGCCCATGCTAGCTGGGGCTTATGGGAGCTGTAATCCAAAATATCTGGGGAATACCAGGGTGACAAGGTCAGTCTCTAACTCTGTCGTGCAGCTGCCACCTGGGACTTGCCCCATTTCCATCCCATCTGTCCCCTCTAAAAACCCCAGCTTTATGCCTTTGTTAGGGGAATCTTCTCCCCCTTGTTTGCATTTTAGTAGCTGCAAGTAAGAATGCACAGAAACCTGTGAAAGGAAAAGGCATGGTTTTGCAAGTGAATTTGCAGTTTGTCCACAAGCAAAAAAGGCCTGCTTGTGATACAGCTGCTGGTGGAGTGTAAACACGTATGAATACTGGTGAAAAGAGGGTGAATACTGTAATTTCCCACACTGTTCAGAAAAGGTTTTAGTGTGGCAGTTTTTATCTACACAAGGATCATGCTGGTGACTCTGTGTGTTATTTGGTCATTGCCAAAACTGTGCTATCCTCTCCTTTGACAGGGACATCTGTTTGATGGTCTGTCTCTGTTGCTATTGCCTGGGGTTTTAAACTGCAGTTTTAATGTCTTTGCAATATAATTTAAAAAATTTTGGTTGCCTGATATATAAAGTAAACAAATGAATGCAAACAGGTGGAGCTGCCTGGGGTTGTTCCCCATCTGGCCACCACCAAAGGACCCAATGCAAGGTCTGGGAGGTCTCCCAGATTCTGTGCTAAGTGGAGAAGCTCAGCTGGGGCTGGTGGCAAAGAGTGTTTGTCACAAGCTTTGGCTAGAATGCCAAATGCAACCCTGAGTGACTCATGTTTCCATCTCCCATGCACTAGCGATCTCCAGGCTAGACTACTGTCATGCAGGCTATGTGGGGCTGCATTTCAAGCTTTGGAAACTCCAGCTGGTACAACATCAGAGTGCTGGTGGGGGCTAGGCAGTCAGAGCAGGTGACAGCTACAGAGTACCAGCTGGTTCTGGTGGATTGCCAGAACCAATGTAAAAGTCTTGACTTTTACAATTGTAAAACTGTTTGGCGCTACGTAACCTGAAAAATTGCCTTTGCTCACCACAGCCTGCCTGCGCACTTATACCTGCACCTGAGGCCTTATTTATGTCCTTCTGGAAGAAGGAGTAGGTTGGTGGACACGAGGGGGTTAGGGGGCTTTTCGACAGGAGGCCATCCTTCTGGCATCAGTTCCATGGGGGTATGTCAGGCCCCACCTTTCAGGGTTTTAAACAGCCTTAAACACCCATTTGTTTACTGTTGCTTTCGTTTAAGTAAAGAGTTCATCAGACTGCTCTATACAGGTTGTGGCTATTAATTCTTTGCTGACAGAGGATATTCCCAGCACTGGTTGCCCAAGGACTGAATTGCACATGATATCAAAGACAGTGCTGTGAGTTGTGTGTCTATTTGTTTGCTTCTAAACACAAGGACACAAAGCAATCAGGACTGAGGATGCATTTGGGGGAGTTAACCCTTCCTGTACCCCAACCCCCAATACTGCTGTTGGCCCCAGGAGAAAACTGCTGCCAACTTACCATGGGAACTTTCCTTCCAAAGGAAATAGTAGCTTGTAGAAATTACCTTGGTCACCCTGTGGGATGACCTTTGCCAGGAGAAGAGCAGGACAAGTGTGGCCCTATTGGTTCTCCTGGACCTTTCAGTGGCTTGCGATACCATTGACCATGGTATCCTTCTGGATAGGCAGGCTGGGCTGGAGTTGGAGGCACTGCTTTGCAGTGGTTCTGCTCCTACCTGGCTGGCCAGTTCCAGATGGGGTCACTGGGGGAGAACTCCTCAGCCCCATGGCAGTTACACCCACAGGGTTCCACTTATGCCCATGCTGTTTTATATCTACATGAAATTGCTGGGAGAGGCCATCTGGAGGCTTGGGCTGAAGTGTCATCAGTATGCGGATGACAGCTCTGCCTCTCATTTTCACCCAACCCAAGTGAGGCAGTCTCGACTGAATCGGTGCCTGACCTAGGTGATGCCTGGATGAGGGCTAATAAGTTGAAGCTTCATCCAGACAAGAAGGAGGTGTCATTGGTAGGTGGAGCCTCCGTCCGGGGGAAGGATATTTGCCCTGTCCTAGACAGGCTGCCAAGCTTGGGGGTGCTCCTGGACTCAGGGTTGTCCCTGGAACATCAGGTGGCATCTGTAGCCAGGTGCACCTTTTATCAACTGTGGCCAATATACCAGCTGCTCCCCTATCTGGACAGGCAAAAAGCTAACATTGGTACTCCATGCACTGGCAACCTCATGGCTGGACTACTGTAATGTGCTTTATGTGAGGCTGCGCTTGAAAACGGTCCAGACACTTCAGTTGGTACTGAACAGGGCAGCCTGCCTGCTAACTTATGCCGAAGCTTATGCGACTGGGGCGGCATATAAAAACTCCAAATAAATAAATAACTGGGGTGGGCCAGTAGAGTCCTTTATCAATTGCACTGGTTACCAGTTGAAGCCTTGACCTGCTTCAAGGTGCTCACATTGATGTATAAAGCTCTAAATGGCTTAAGGGCTGGATAAAGGAACACCTCCTCCCATGTTCACCTACTCAGACCCTAAGATCATCTACAGAAATCCTTCTCTGTAAGCAACTGCTAAAAGACACAAGGAGGGTGGCTATGAGGGGAAGGGCCTTCTTGGTTGTGGTGCCCCATCGATGGAAAAACTCTTCAGGGAGGTGCACCTGGTGCCAACACTGTACACTTTTCCGTGCCTGGTCAAATCCTTTTTATTCTCCCATTATTTTAATTGTTGAATGGATGGTTATGATTTTATATTGGTTTTTATTCAGATAATGATCAGTTGCTGTGGATTGGTGTTTTGTGTTATGTATTTTATTTTATTATTTGTTTTTATGTTAACTGTTGCTGTTATTTTTAAATTGTTATGATTATTATGGCTATATTATTAGTATTATGCTGTAAACCATTCTGAGAGCATTTGCTATAGAATGGTCTATAAAAACTGTAAATAATAAATAAACAAGCAATGTGATCTGCTGTGAGCATACATGAAGATCAAGGAGTGCACATTTCTATAATACATTTACAGACACGTGCACACAAAATCATGTAATTCCTGTGCAGGGTTGCATGAAAACATACTGAAATTAGACAACAGTGACAAAAAACTTCATATGAAAACACATAAAATAGGCTAAGCCCTAGTTTTGTGTCTGCATACAAAGGGATCACCTTTAATAACACAAGCAACCCTCTGCCCAGAAATGTCTGGGCACCTCTTTCCACAGTGGAACATGTGGCTGTGCACATGCAATGAGTGTGTGTCCCACGCACGCATGCTTCTGACATTGCATGGCACATGCCTTCAATTGCACATGAGAGGCAGTGCCAATCTGTGTGCACGCGCTTGTGGCTGCAGTCGACAGCACAAAGCAGAAGAGGCAGCTCCTTGCATCTTTTTCTGTGCCTTTCAAAGGATTCCAGGCCAAGGACAACAGAAATGGGACAATGCATGAAATTATCCACTCCCTCTGTCAGCAGTATAAATAGCAAAGAAATGGGGACGCTCACCTGGAGTGGGGGTGAGGTCTGAAGCCCCGTTTCCTGAGCCCTGCCCAAAATGCATTGCCCACTAGAACTACATTCACCTCTCACACAACCCCAGAACCACTTACGTCTGTTTGGGGCCCTTTCCCAGCTCCAGGACACTCGAAAGTGACAAATTCGTGGCACCGCTTGTGTACAACAAAGCTGCACACTGAGAAAGGAAGAAAGAAAAAGGCTGGCTTTAGGGGGACAAATATGACAGGGAGGGGTAGAGGTACAGGGGCAAAGCGGGGGGGGGGGGGGAGAATGAAAGAACAGAGAAGTACAGAAGTATTTCCTATCCATTGTTGGATGCAATCCTATGTCAGGACAATACTTGTTCAAGAAAGCTCTGAGAGCACAAGACATGGTTACCTTCCCAAAGCTGGTGCCTTCCAAATGTGTGGGCATTTGCAGTCCAATGCATCTGGAGGGCACCCAGTGGGGGAAGCTGCCTTATGCCCAGCACAGAATGCAGAAAAAATGAAATTGCCTTACATTGGTTTGTGTGATTGAAACAACTTGCCATGGGTTGTTTAAGCCACGGTGGACTGTGGCACCTGCCAAGAGGGGTTTGCATATTCAGCACCTGGACATGGCTTGTTGTGTTGTGAGAACTCAGGGATCATGACTTATATGAGGGTTGTTTAACCCTTGCATAAGCTATCATCCCTGAGTTCACACAACTTGACAAGCCATGGTCAGGCACTGAATATTCAAAAGGGCCACCAGTCTGTGCCAGAATTCACCCCAGTCAATCATGGTTTTAATAAGCCACAGGGGGTTGTTCAGTCGTGTGAACTGGCCCATTCAGCCAGACCACAAGTCCATCTAGTCCCAAAATTGCTGACACCAGCTAGTAGCAGCTATCTTTTGCTTCAGGGGCATGTTTTCCATGCCTTACCTGGAGATGTCAGGATTGGACCTGGGACAACTGCATGAGATGCCCATGGCCACTAACTCATGGCCTCACCCTGGCAACAGCTCTCCACAACCCCTTTCCTAGTTCTGCTTCAGCCTCATTTCTTAAAAACTGGAGAAGGCAGCGGTTGAACCTGATAGATATTTGTGCTAATCACATGTGCTCTAGGCCTGAGCTTCAGGCATTATCATCCAGCAAGACGACCTTATACTCTAGTCTAATGTTCTGGTGATCTAATTGCCCTGTAGCTTCTGGCATACGCAGCCACTGCAGTCAATTAGAGCCCCTTCACCACCAACAGCCCTTCCTTGAAATGGGGTGGGTGGAATCCAAGTCACTTGCCAACTAAGCACCTAATACTAGTTGGGCACACTGACCAACTAGTATTACATCCAATGTATTCCTCTTGTTGCCAAAGGGCCAAATGTGAAGCCGGGATACTTCCAGACAGCGGGCTTGGAGCACAGCCGGTGGGAAGGCAACATACACCTGTTCCGTCTTTTCTTCCTAACAGCTTTTCTGCAGCAAGAAAAAAGACAGAAGTGGTGGGAGAAGATGGGAGGGGGGGTTATGATGTCTTCCCCCACCCCTAAAATTCAATGACTGCAGCAGAGCAATGGTGCTGCAAGGCCTTGCCTGGAAGCACCCCAAGTCACTCAGCAGAACTGATGTGGCATAGACCTACTTGCAGACTGTCATTTATTTTTCTATTTTTTTATTTTTCGATTTATATCCTGCCTTTTCCTACAAAGTGACATAAAGGAAGCATCCAAAGCATAACTCACCACCAATGCTCCAAAGCATTTACCCCAATCTAACATACTAGTCTTTAGCATTGCATCAGTTCTTGCTACATGGCAAGGAGCCCTGGGAGAAATTTTGTGAGGTATCCCAAGAACACAGTGCTATTTGGATGATATTAGTGTAGCAGGTGATCCTCAGGAGGATCTGAAAATCCTGCAGATGGTGCTGAAACATTTAGAAGAGTCAGGGTCAGGAGCAGACTGTAAATTCTGTTTGTTTGTGCGAGTTTTGGCAAGTATCTTATCAGTATGTGACATCTACTTTCAGCATATGCGCAGGTGTCTTCCTCAAAACCCCACCCACTGGAACTTGTGGGGTGGGCTTTTTGGAGGAAGGGGTGCCCAGGTGGGTGTTCAGCTGTGAGCGCTGGTGCAGGGTGAGGGGGGTGACTTTGCTTCCCACCCCCTTCCCCCCTTTTTCGCTCCTGCATTCTGCAAGTTCAGGCCTAAGATTTGGAAGATGGGTCTCCATGGCAACAGGCGGGGGACGAATCCACAAGTACCCAGCTCGGCGGGGGAGGGGGATCGGACCCAGTCAGAGGAAGGGGGCAGGGAATATGTTCACTCAGGCACATGCAGGGAAAGATCCCCAGCACAGTTCTGGTTCTGATCTAAACCTCTCCAGCCTTTCCTCTCCTACTGAGGCTTTTCTCTGAGGTGTCCTCTGGTGTCACCTGAGAGGTCGAGTTCCAAAATCCGTCTCATTGCAATACCAATATAAGGCCAACCAGAAGATCATCCAAAACTTACAAGCTTTCCAGCTCTCTAGCCCTCTTCTTCAGCAACATATTCTTAAAAAGCCCGTCACAGGCTGGGGGGAGGGTTGGGGTCCGTGCTGTCCCGTCAGTCAGTTATCACTCCCTCCATTTTGTTTGTTTGTGACCTTTTACCTGATCTAATAAAGGCATTCCAGAATCATGGAATTCAGATTGTTACTTACGGTCAACACAGCTATCTCTGGCCTTTTGTGAGATGTACATTTCTTTATTACTTTATACCCTGCCTTTTTTTGTCTATTGCAAGGAAACCAAGATGGCTTCCATAAGCTTCCTCCTCCCCATTTTATCCTCACAGCCCTGTGAGGTGGGTTAGGCCGAGAATCCTATGCCACTAAGCCACGCCAGCTTGACACGTCATGGAGCGTATTGAATTTAGTTGTTTTACAGCAAACCCTAAAAGAGAGGTTGAGCATTTTACCCCACTAGAAGCTGCACTTCATTTATCCACTCCAAGTGCTAGATAACACTACCCAAATTGGCTTGAAATGACTTTTATGATCTAGAATTGCACCTAAAATTACCTCCTGCACTTTTGCCAGAAAGACTATCTAATTTCTCTCCGTGATCCACTGTGAGCTTCCACTAGGATGGAAAACACACCTGGACACAATTGGGCCCAATATTTGCTCAAATGGAGACCCTAACAATCCTCACTGCTTCTTAGAATAACCGGGGGCAGAACAAGACTAGCAGGCTTCCTCTCCCACACTGCATCTGGACATGACTAGTCTCTATTCACAGCAATGTGCGTTCACCATCTAGTCACTTTTTCCTCTCCTCTTGTGCTCCCACCTGCCTTTTTAATTTTTTCCCTGAAGAAGAGGATCTTTTTAAAAACTTGGCTTTTTGTGTGTTTTTTTCCCAGTTGACCTACTGAGGATAGTACAGGAATGTGGATTTTGGACTTTTTCTTGTGCTCAATACGGTTATCTTTGCTTTTTCCGAAACAGAGTGCCCCATGTTTAAACTGGCATAGTTAGCTGGACAAATATAGCATTTGATTAACAGCAATGAGCACCTGATCATGCTTATCTCCCTTTCTTTGAAAACTTTGGCTGCTATTTCTTATCCATATTTAAGGTGCCCCACAAGTCTGTGTTGACTTTTGCTGCAAGTTCTGGCTTATCAAGCTGTTGTACAAGCCACAAGAGCTAGCCAGATCTATTACTTTACAGCCAGTTGGCAACCCATTCCCCAAGCAACATCTCCTGCTCAGCCACTTTTCTGAATGACTCTGCATTCCCATAGCAACAGATCTCCTAATAAAGCCATTGTCCCTGTGTGTGCGTGTGCGTGGATGTCATGTCCAGCATACAGAGAAATATAATGTGTGAGCAAGGGTGGTGGGACAGATGCTGAGAGCTGCAACCATTAAAGCTGATGTTGGAACAGGGTGCCTGGTGAGCGGCAATAGGTTGTGTGGGGAGCCAGCTCCCCCGAACTATAGAGGAAAACGGGGGTTCTAATGAAACAGGGGGCGCGATGGGTGGGGGAAGGAGGGTGCTTGGGTCTACAGCTGGACTGAGCAATGCACAGCTGGAATGGTAGCATAGGATGTGGCACAACAGCCATTGATTGGCAGGTGTTGATGGAACTGGCAAGTGAGGAAGGGGGTGGCTTAGCGATTTCGGTGGCAGCCGTAGCTTGGTTTCTTAGCAACCAGCAGGTCTGGACACACAGAGCTAAGGATGTATTTTCCAGAATGCAATACAAGTTGGGAGAGGGCTGGGGGGGGGGGGGGGGGCAGACAGGCAAGGGGAAATCCTTGGCCTGCAAGCTGTCAGTTGATGGAGAGGGTAGCCTGAAGCATTGTGGAAAAATGGAGAATGGAGCAGCCATAAAGATCGAAGTGGACATGTGGAGGAGTCTTGGTTCCCCTTCTCTCCAGGTGTCAATGCACAAGCACCAGCTTGCCAGTGAGAGTCACAACAGGTGAGGGAGGAAAGGCTGCACAGGCTTCTGCACCTGAGAAAATGTACACACACACGACTTGAATCTTCATTCATGATAGACTTTCTGCATGCACTCATATGCATTAGGGCTGGGCACACATATGACAGAGAGAGCTGTTTGCATGCAGTGTGGGTACGTGATGGAGAGAGCTGCCTGCGTAGGGGTGCGGAGCAAACCTCTTACAATGATGAGCGAGAAGGTCTGTGCAAGGCAGAGCGTGTACTTTTGAACAAAACACCCCTGGTGTGTATTCAGGAGTATCAATGAGAGCTATTTCTCCTTGCAAAATGCAGGCAGGGGAGCTAAAGTTTTTCATGGAACCTTGGGGGGGGGGGCATTCCTTAACACTTTCTCTTCCAGCAGTTTTTCCCCTAAAAATCACTCCCCAAGCTGCTTCCCTGCTACCTCAACCTGATGAAAGATACGGCAATCTTCCCCCGTGGCACAGGTGAGAAATCCGTGGCTGTCTGGATGTTGCTCGATTGCCACTCCAAACAGCCCTAGCCGGAATAGCCAATAGTAAAGAATGGGAGTTGTAGTCCAATAAGATGTGAAAGGCCACACAATCCTGGACCCTGCCTTATGAGACAGTAAGTAGCTTGTGAAAGTTGTTTTTTAGCACCAAAAACACCAAGAGAGGAAAAGTTAAGCATTTAAGGAGCCACACTTCCTCTGATCAGTTTCTACAATGCCACAAAGGCAAAGCTGGACTTGGAAGGCCAGGGTTCAGCTCTCTACTCAGCTAAGAAGCTCATTCAACATGCCAATCACTCGGTCTCAGCCTATTGACCTCACAGGCTGAAGCGGAAAAAAACCAGGTCTGCTGTCCTGGACTCCTTGTAGAAAGGACAAGATTTTTAAATATGTAAAATACTGTTTGTGGTAGCAGAAAAAATAGTTAGAGGAGGACTATATGCACAAGTTTCTTGTGCAGGCTGACCCTAAGAATCAGGTCCTCTTCCTAGGTTATAATTCTCTATACAGAAATCCATTTTCATGTAGGAATGACTGAATATACAACACAATATGATCATAGGACTGGAAGAGGCCTTGGGAGTCTTCTGGTCCAAGTCCCTGCTTAAGGCCGGTACCTCACAGGTGCAGCTTCCCTGGCATCGGATGGCAGCCCTCAGTCTGCTCAAATACCGCCACAAAGGAGGCTGCACCAGCTCCAAGCGAGTGCATCCCACTATTGAACAGTTCTCGTCATTAGCACATTCCTCCAAATGTTTAGCTGAAACTGCTGCCTTGCGATTTCCACCCAGTGGTTCTAATCCTTTCTCCTGGAGCTACAGAGAAGATATTTGAAAGCAGCTGTAAAGTCACACTAATTCTTGTGAACACACTTTAGGTTTTGCTCATTGCTGTGGTACCCAGGAGCTCATTTTCCTATTCCCCGCCCAGGGGAAACAGACCTACAGATCTTTTATTCCCCAACCCTGGAAATGGTGATTGTCTCCTAGCCAGGCCTCTCCTTGACTGCTAAGGCCTACCAAGGCACACCCAGAACTAACCTTGGGGGACACAATTATTCCTGGGATCTGCTCCTACCTACCAGATTTTTCTTTCTCACACACTACTTGGTGTTCTTGAAATACGTGTATTGCTCTATCCTTCAAGTTTGCATCAACTGGGTCTGATTTTTCAGCTTCTAATAACCCAGTATCTTATGTAAATTTATGCTGTTAGTCCTAGTGATGCCTTTCCATTCTGGAAGAATCCATTTCTTAGATCTGCTTCTACTTCTGCTCAGCGCTGGATAGTCCAGGAAGTGCAAAGACTATCTTTGCTCTAGTCATGGACATCAGATCCAGGACCAACACATCTGAGAATAGGAGAAAAAGCTATCAAAACTAGAGAGGCCCAAACCAAAGCTGTGTTGGCAGTGAAGTTCAGTGGGGAAAAGGTGCATGTCGCTACATTGGTCAGACATAGCAGCCAAGAAGATAAAGGCACAAGGCCTGCTCTTAGTAGAGCAGCTAGAGATATACCACTCCAAGCCAATTCACATATTGACACGTTCACCCACAATGCACCTGGCCCAGTATCTCCTGGAAAGCCTCAAAACAGGGCACAAAATGATCTGTTGTCACAATTGGACATCATGTTCTACAGGACAGATGCCAGCCTCTCTAGGCCCATGTCAATGATTTTTCTTGAGATGTGTCACATTCCCATTAGCCTCTCGGTTGAACTGTACAAAGTGTATTGTGTGCAGAACATGTTGGCAAGGGCGGGCAGGCAGGAGTGTTCTGCCACAAACAGTCTAGACAGCAGTTACATATATTGGACGGTGATTCTGGGTAATCCTGGTGGAAGGAAGCAGCCCCTTTAAATATACTCAATGTGAAGAGAAAAGACACATCTCCAAACACATTGTGGACATGTACTAGGGAGCTGCAGCTTATCAAAAGTGACTTTCCAACATATCTGGAACTAGGAAAGGTAGAATGTCCTCGGATTGTGACTTGTGGTAACTTTATGCAAGTGTGTGAGAAAGGAGCAGGGTTTGTCACTTCACACACATGGACAGAAACATGTGAGTGGGTTTGTGTTCCCGAGTAGCATGCATTACATATATTGGCATCCAACTTTATCTTCTCTCTTTTTCTCTGTCTTTCTCTCTCTCTCTTTACACACACACACACATTTGTGCAAGCAAGCTGCTGCAGGCAGGTGCAAATGTGAAGGTAAATTTGGACTGAAGTGCCAGTTGCCAGAAGAGACAGAAGCGTACATAAAAGACAAGAAGAATGAAAGAGAGATTTCACAGCATCACAGCCTTAAAATAGATGAAGGAATCTAGTTCAACGAAACAATAAGACCAGGCTCAGGGGCTGTGTCTGTGTGAACTGCCTGATTAAAAAGGGAATTAGGGAAATTAGAAGCAGCCCAGCCCCCACCTCTTCCCCTGGTAAGAGTCTTTCAGTCCTGAATCCCGGCTCTTCAGTCCCCTAATGTGTCCTGCTGTGATCCACTTGAAGGTACACTTTTCCCAAAGAACCAAGGCACTCTTCTTGATTACTTTTTATCCCACCCATCTTTCAAGGAAATCACACTTGCTTCTCCTCCCCAAATCCCTTTATCACAACCACCCTGTGAGGTAGATTAGACTGGAAGATGCTGTTTGGTCCAAGGTTATCCACAGAGTTGAGTGGATGCGTGGGAATTTGAACTCAAGTCTTCCAGCTTCCAATCCAGCACTCTAATCCAGTCATTCCCAACCTGATGCCCTCCAGATGCACTGGACTACAACTCCTATCATCCCCAAGCAGCATAGTTCTTAGCTCCAGCCCCTACTCAAGTAGAGGAAGAGCCACAAGATTCCTTGTTGCCAGTTTTCTTCTCTCCAAAGAAAATAAGCTTTAAAAATTAGTGTTTACCTTTAAAAGCTATATTTGACAGGTAGAAATTTATCTTGTGCATCTGTTCCTAATGCCCAAGAAGCAGCAGCTATTACTCATAGACCCACCATCAAGAAAGAAGGCTAGAAGTTATATAACCCATCTTTCGAAAAGCAAACAATGCATTGGATTCATAATTTTTCTGGGGCCCCAACAGACCTCCCCCATTTCTAAGTTTCCTGAATCATGCCTCTGAACATATGAAGAGAGTGTTCCTACCCTGAGCAGTGACATACTACAGATGATTCCCCCCCGCTGTCTGATTGCAAAGGGTGTGACCTCAGCCCCCACAGCTGCTCTTTCATAAAGCCTTCCCCTCTGCGAACCTGATGCATTACTCCTTGAGTATGACTGTGCACTCACAACATGGGGTGCTCGAATCGTGAAGACAGAGCCGACCCAATGGGGGAAACGCAGGAGAAAGTACTTACCTAAGCACTGCAGCCCTTGCTTTCCAATGCCCCTGCATGGGATAAAGAAAAATAAGAAAAGAAACAGGTTGTTAGCTCACGCAAAGCGTAGGATGTTCCAGTTGAAAGAGCACTGAGCTAGCAAATTTCTTAAATGTGACCTTAGTAAACACATTCATGTGCCAAGCGAGTGAGGTGGGGGGAGCTGAATATACTGGATTTCCTAGAATCTCTTGGAAAGAAGTCATGTCTAGTGGTTATAATGCCAGGAAGGTATGTGGGTTTCAGAAATGCTGAATCCTCTGGAAAGGGGGAGAGGCTAGTAGCACACTATGCTCATATATGATAATGCCCATTAACTCTGGATAATGGATACATTAAATGGATAAATTCTCCCCTGCTTTAATTTTCATAACAGCCACTAAAGTGAGGAGAGCAGGGCAAACAGGACAGAATCTACCAGTTTATTACTTTGATTGTGCGAACAGCTGAGTGACCGCAGTACAATCCTGTGAATACTCCCAAGCAAGTAACAAGGATGGCTGGGAAGGAGAAACAATGAGAATGTCAAGGGCTACTGCCCATGATAGCTATACAGTATATTATCTCCAGCATCAGGGGCAGTGGGCCTTTGGATTATGGATTATGTGCTCCTCTGCTCTTACCCTGCTTGTGAGCATTTTGGCAACGGCTGGCTGGCCACTGCGAAAAGCAAAATGCTGAACAAGATCAGCCTCTGTCTGATGCAGCAGAGCTCTTCTTAGAGACAACCAGGATTCCTGGATTCCAAATTAAATATGTCAGCTTATTAAAGTCACCCTTTCCTCTTCTTGCCATCATCTCCGGTAACTGACAGTCAGTTTCTGAATGTTCTGCCAGGTCCTAACAGATGCTAGAAGAGTTGCTGAAACTTCTTTTATCATACAGAGGGGGGATATTGATGTATCTATATCTGCCTCTTGCATATTTCGCTTTGCAGAAGTCATAATACTAATTGTGGTGGGTTTTTCCCTTAAGATTGAGCACTTGGATTTAATTAAAAATGGACTGGAGGAATAAACTAGCCGAGCAGGCTATGACAGGAGCAAAGTCAATGCGGCAAAAGAAGAGGAAAAACATGACACTGGAAGAGCAAGCTGCAAACATTTCTTCTCCATCACACCCAAGCACATTCATATTGTACTGCGTGGTTTCAAGTTGCACGCTGCTTTTCTTGGAGGGGGAGTATAATTTTGGTTGACAAATGGGGCTTAAATATAATTTGGAAATAACAACAAATTAAAACAGGAAGGAGTGATCATGGGAGGGATTTACAGAATAAACACCTGACAAAGGAGAGCCAGCCGGCAACAGTCCATAGGTTATTTGAAGGTTGTTTCTCCTTCCCACAAGCCATATCATCCAGGTTCAGATGACAAGACAAGCAGATAATTAGGCAAATGGGGTCCAGTGCACACCCTGACTTAGGCAGACAACCATGGCGGGGTTGCTAAAAGCAGGTCTTTCTTTCCACTTCCCATTTGTCCCCTACCTATGAGCAACTCTGCTATTTGGAAATGCTACAGTGTTGAGGGCTTTTTAACAGGAAGGAGCTGTTGCCCTCCTGTCTTGCTCATGGGCTTCCAGTGGCATCAGGTTGGCCACTGTGGGAATTTAATTAAATTAGGAATTTAATTTAATTTAATTTAATTTAATTCAACTAGGAATGAATGCTTTCCATCTGATCAAAGGATAGGGCTCTTCTTCCGAACTTAACATTCATTCCCCACAAGCTGTACTTCTTATGTATTTAAAATTCATTCCCCAAAGTTTCTCCCAAGCTTTTCCCCTGCAGTGGGGTCAAAAAAGGGGGGTTTGAGTGTGTGCACAAGTAAACTAGTCATTACATAGAACACAGGCCATGCTCAGTTCTGACTTTCCTAATCTGGTACCCTCTAGATCAGGGATGGCGAACCTTTTAGAGACCGAGTGCCCAAACTGCAACCCAAAACCCACTTATTTATCGCAAAGTGCCAACACTGCAATAAAACCTGAATATTGCGGTTTTAGTTTAGAAAAAACAACTCAGTCAGTCCAAGCAAATATATATATATCCTTGGCAGCGCACTGACCAGCCATGGGAAAGCTTGGACGAGTCGCGGCTAATGAGTCACGGCATGTGACATCATTGCCTGGTTCCACTACTCCTTTCCGAGCATGCTAATGGCCCCTATGTGCGCTGTTATCCGATGCTCGGCTGCTGGGGTGATGCTGGGGCGACTTGGCTCGTGTGCCGACAGAGAGGGCTCTGTGTCCCCACTGCGGCACGCGGGCAAGAGGTTCACCACCACTGCTCTAGATATATTGGACTACAACCCTTACTATTCCCTGCCAGCATGGCCAGCTGGGAATGATAGGGATTGTACTCCAAAACATCTAGAGAGTACCAGGAACTGAGCATGACCCACATTCTTTATATGGGCCATGCCTCTCATGGCTAGTCTACCAAACACACTCTCAGAGAATTTTTTCTTTTGGATATGCCTTGCATTTGTCACAAAAATGGACATGGAGAACTTCTGCTTGTGGATAAAAAAGGACAAATCCAAATCAGTTTTACAGCAATTATGCCATAAGAAGAGATCCTAAGCACATATGTCAGAGGGGAATCCTATGCTCAGGCCTAAGTGGGTGAATGCAGTCATTAAAACTGACCCAAAGATTCTGCAGGAATATTTTCAGAAAATAAGGGGTGCGGAAAAAAAAGATTTTATTTATTTTATTTATTTATTTAGGAAGCTTCTATGCCGCCCCATTCGCCGAAGCCTCGGGGCGGCTCACAGCTTGGTGGTCTGGCTTGAAAGGTGTTGGGAAAGAAGGAGAAACCCTAAAGGCAGACATATCTTCTCTTGCAAGAAAGACCAATGTGGGGAAGAAACCAAGAGGGTTTGATTTCTCTGATTTGGAGTGGTATTTATCTCCACGTTTCTTTTCCCAGAGACTACAGCACTTGTCTCTGCATTTCTACATCCCTTCATGTTCTAGGGTTGGATCAAAGCTGTGCTACGGCTTTTCCACTTCTAAAATGTGAGGACAAAGAGAGCACAGGGGGTGACCAGAAGAGATGCTGAGATGTAACCCAGAACTGTAGACTCCAGATTTTGTGCAAAGAATAAAGGCCAATGCTGCTCCTAAGTTAGGATTGCCAATTTCTTTTTTTCCTGCCAGAGTATCTCTGCCTTTCACAGCTAGTCATCTCATGACTGTGGACATCTGGCAGTTGCTGCTTTTCCTGCCATGAAGAAACAATGAAGGGGAAACCTCAGGAACACTTAATAGGCATCAACAAGATGGAGAGGCTTAGACAGGTCTTTATTTGTGTTTCCTAATTCTCTACTTGATTTAAAGGGTGCTCCATAGAAAAGCTTTTAAAGTGCCATGGGGGTCCAGAGGACAACATTTTCCACTCAAAGCCTCCTGTGTTTTCCCATCACTTCTTCCATCTTTTTGCTTACCCCTGAAAATCCATTAAGAAGAAAATGATGGATGAGAGGCAAAATGCCTTCCGATTGTTGGAACTGGTTGGAAAGGCCCAAAGGGGGTGTTTAAATGAGAACCTGGGGGTTAAAGACAGCTGCAGCCCAAAACAGGATTCAAGCCATCTCAAATCATGCATCCGTATGCCTGAGAGACTGTTCTCTACAAACTCCTATAACTGATTCAAGACCACACAGGCTGGATTCTTAAACCTATGAAGGGTTTCGGTTATAAGCTACCCAGGCAACCCACAGCTTCTTGCAGTGGTTTTCTGACGCACAAGGGCTTGCTGTGTTGTCCAAACCCAGACACAGTGCCTGGCATGAGTCAAGACCTGGCACGAGTCAGACACCTGCCCCTGAGATACCTCAGAGACGTTTGGGGTGGCTGTCAGAGGCGTCCCCTGCCCTCTGCCACTTCCAGCTGTTTCTGAGAGCAAGGGGCAATCTCCACCTCTACGCCTCTTCCACCTGCTTCGGGCTGGCAGAGACCTCCCCTTCTCTCCTGCCCACCACTGTGTCCAGCCCCTTTCAGGGCAGCAGTAATCCCAGCTCCCACACTGTTCCCATGAAGGCGAAAGGCTACATGGCAGCAGGACGGGGTGGTCTTCACTGCAGCTGGCATGGCGGCCAGCTGGAGCCATGCCTGCTCTCCATTTCCAGCACCTCTGTGGGGAACTTTGGTGCTCCCACAGGGTCCCCCGTGATACCTGCGCAACGACTAAGGGAGAAGAGGTAAGAACACACAAGGTGCCTGGCCACCTGGGAGGTACATCAAGGGCCCTTGGACAGATAGCCCACGCGGTGCAACACTTGCAAAAGGTCCCCCCATCCTTCACGTCAGAAGCACAGTTGCAACGCCTCTCGGATCAGGCGGTGGCTGTAGCAAGTAGTAAGTGTGGACAGTCCCAGGACGTGCAGAGAACTATGGATCGTTTGGAGCGCATTCCTCATCATAATCGTTATTTGAATTTGAGGGATTAAGAATATCCACTGCATAACAGTGCAGGGCTGTTGTGTTTTTACAGCAGCTGGAAGGGCGACATCTCTATGTTGCATGTCTGTAAGTTATTTTGGGGATGTACATTTGGGTTCCATTAAGTCAAATTAGCCAGTGTGGTGCAGTGGTTAGGAGCACAGGACTGGGACTCAGACGATCCGGGTTCTAGTCCCCGCTCAGCCATGGAGCCAACTGGGTGACTTTGGGCCAGTCAGACTCTCAGCCCAACCTACCCCACAGGGTGGTTGTTGTGGGGATAAGATGGAGGGGGAGATGTAAGCTGCCTTGAGCCCTTTGTAGGAAAAAGGCAGGATATAAATCAAATAAATAAATAAATAGGGGTGTGGCAAGTATAAATAACATACCAAGAATGAACCTCGGGCTTGTCCTTGCCAGCTCAATAGCCTCATACGTTAGCAGAAAATCAGGAAAGGGGCAAGTTGATATATTTGCCTTCTCCCACAATGACTGGACTGTTTCTTGTGGGGGGCAGGTGTGTGTAAATGCGAGTGCATTATTTTAATCATACCAGTTCTGT